CAGCTGGCATGGAAGCTTATTTATGAGACTCACAAGTGCCTGGGCCTAGGATACAGGAAGAACAGGAGCTGCGGTGGATTGGCTGACACCCATGCCATTTCCTGAGTTCTTGCGTTCCCCGGTTGCAAAGCTCAGGATTTCCCCCACTTTCCAGTGTGGATTTCTCTCTTTAAAAAAAGGCTAAAGTACTCTCCCAGGCTGGTGGTATCCCCCGACCCTCCCACCGTCTTCAGGGAGCTACTTTGAAAAGAATCCAAGCATGGGGCAGGCACTGTTCTCGAGACCGGGAAGCCCAGCTGCATTCGGTGAGTAATGGAGGGCAAGAGAAGCATAGCAGTCTGTGGTTGGGGCTGAGGCAGGGATTGCAGGTGAAGCTGTGGAGTACATTGGAATGGAATGCTAGGATTGTGTAACCAGTCACACTTGGGGAAGTGTCTGGTTCTAAGAGTAGCTAGAGTGGAATTACTTTGTGTCCGTCCTTCCTTTCTTTGCTGTGTTCAAAATGTGTTTACTGTGCAACGTGTTGTCCTTGCTTATCACTATAGTCAGGTTCTGTGCTGCATTAGGTAAGAAACAATCTCTGATCCTGCTTTCTGCTGCCTGTCAGGCGCCTGGCCACTGATTTACAGAGCCCAGTAAAATTCCCCAGACTTGACTGCAATTAAACATTTTATACATCTGCAATAGGGAAATGATGCAGATGGCCAACTTGTGTATGGCAGCAGTGAGCTTTTAGGAGTACCTATCATATTCTGGAAAGTGGGATCAGCAGTCTTCTTTCTGCTTTATTCTATCTCTGCCATTTCTTGCTTGCTTTATACAGAGGGACAGCTGCGATCTCGAATTCTGGCGTACTGTTGCTCTGACTTCTTGGAGTGGAAGAGTACTGATGTACACTGGGTAGCAGTGCTTCAGATTTTTAAAGTAGAATTTGATTACTTTGTTTGCTGAGTGTAGACTATGAACTTTGGAAGTCTGTCCTGGGGTCTGTTCCTAGCTCCGGGGGAGTGCTCCTTGAGTGAGTCAAGTCATTTCAGCGCTCTCTGCTTCTGTTTTCCTATTTGCACCATGGGTCAAAAACACATGCCATATTTTGCAAAAAGCGCTTTGATATATGGAGCTGGAAAGCACTTACATATGTGTAAATTATTCAGTCTCTCGGTTGATTTTGTTTTTCTTACTAAACTTGCACAAAAGCAGCTAAAAATAAATGGTGGGGGCAGTAAACTTCAGTCTTCTCTGCTCTCAGTGGAGACTAACACTGCTTTCTCCTTGGATTTATGAGGTGATGGAAGGCAGATCTGTCCAGTCTTGGTTGGGCTGCCCTCTCAAACAGGCTCTCCAGAGATTGTTTGTAGTTTGTGTGAGAAGGGAAGGTGGATGTAATGACACAGTCATCCCTTGCCAGAGTTCCCGCAAATTTGTTATGTCCGTGTGTGGAATGAATTTTGTTATGGGCACCAACGTGGAGGTGATGTGTGGTGGGAGTGGGCTGAGGAGTTTGGCGTGGAGGGGCTCAGGGCTGGGGCAGAGGGTTGGGGCATGAGGGCTCTTGCTGGGGGTGTGATCTCTGGGGTGGATCCAGAGATGAGGGATTTGGAGTGTGGGAGGGAGCTGAGAGTTGTAATGCAGGGAGTGAGCGCTCTGGTTGAGGGTGTGGCTCTTGGGTTGGGCTGGGGGATGATGGGTTTGGGGGAGCAGGATGCCCTGGGAAGAGAGGACTTTACCCCCCCCCCTTTCGAGCAGCTCAAGGACAGGTGAGATGCACCTCTCCATGGTTGCAGCAGCCCCATACCAGGGCTGTGTTGTGGCTGTGGCTCCTCTCTCCCATCCCAGCAAGTCCAGGGCAGGTCCATGCTAGAGATGTGAGCGTGTAATCGTTTAATGGCTAATCTTAATGGTTATACTTACCCCTTCTTGCCCCCTTTGTATCGGGGGGGGGGGGAGGAGAGGAGGAAGAGGTGGGAGCCCGTGGTTGAGGGAAGCTGACTTTTAAGCCAGCTCCTGGAGCCTTCTCCTGCCCACCCCTCCACCTCCCACAGAGGCAGCAGCATGGGCAGGAGGGGCTGGGTGGGAGCTGGTACATGCAGAAATTCAGCTTTCAAGTTAGTTCCCTGCGCATACCGGCTTCCACAGAGCTCCCTGCCCCGGCACTGCTGCCTCTCCGTCAGAGACAGCGGAGGACGATGGCGGAGCCGGCTTAAGATGGGTCCCCGCAAGCACCAGCTCTTCCCTCCCCCCAGTGTAAATGTGTAATCACTAAAAATGTCAGTGGTTACATATTTACACAAATACACCATGTTTAACATCCCTAGTCGGTGCTGGGGCCAGCAGCGAGAGGCACGTTTCCCTGCCACAACCCTGAATCCCTACGTGGGGCTTAGTGGGCAGCTGAGAGGGAACTTAGTTACCCCTGCCCTCAGAGTCTTGTGTTCTCCACCTCAGTATGTGCTTTTTCTATATAGCGGTACCAACCCACTGAATAGATCCTGAATTTTAGAGGGCAGCTTTCTGACACTATCGTACGAAAACAGAAAGAATGTTCTTAAAAATAAGAATCCTGTTAAGGTGATGGCGGCCAGAGATGTTCAAAAGACAGAGATGTTGCAGGCTAACACTTACTTGTCCTGTTGTGGTGGAAGAGGTTGAGGAAGTACAACATGTCTTGTGAGTAGGGATGTGAAAGTGTAATCGTGTGCATGCAGGCTCCTGATACGCACCGGGACCCAGCTTCAAAGCCGGCTCCCTGCATACAGCATCTCCCAGGGAACTGCCTGCCCCGTGCTGCTGCTTCTGTATCAGAGGCAGCAGCGGGGAGGGGTAGGTGGGATCTGATATGAGTTCTCTGTGTGCAGTGGCTCCCAGGGAGCCAACTGTCACCCCATGTGTAACAGTAACCACTGAAAATTTCAGTGACTACACAATTAATTAAATGCTTTTTAACATCCCTAATTGTGACCAGAGTTTTTGTTGCTTTTAAGGTGAAGATAGTTTTTAAGGTCAAGGCATCGTCCTCCTGCAGATATAAATGCACACTGCTCGTGTGACATGAAGAGCTGTATGTAACTCAACAGAAGCTGATACAATAAAAGATATTTCCTCACCCACTTGGACTTTCATAGAACCATAGAGCTGGAAGAGTCCTCAGAAGGTCATCAAGTCCAGCCCCCTGCCCTAGGGGATTTGACTTTGCTTGGGGATTCTAAAGGTGCAAAGGACCTTTTAAACAATTCAAAAAGCTTCCCACTCCTGGAACAAATGTACTTGATGTTCCATCAATACAGAGGTTCCCAACCTCCAGTCCATGGACCGGTGCTGTGCCGCGAATTGCTGGCTGCCAGGCAGTGGGCTGCTGAAGCTGAAGCCAGCTGTTTGTGGCAGCTCTGGGGGCTGGGGTACATCCCAGCCCCCTGAGCTGCTGCACAGCAGCCGGCTAACCACATGGCAGGCGGCTGCTGGAGCTGAAGCTGGCTGTTTGTGGCGACTCGGGAGGCCTTTGGTCAACTGGAACATTTTAATTGCATATTCATTGTTTCATAGTGAATATGTAAATAAAATGTTACTGGTCCGTCAAAAGTGTTTGAGTGGGTTTGCAGGTCTGCGGTATAAAAAAGGCTGGGAACCACTGCATCAGGGCGTTGGGCTATGGAAAGAACTATGCACATCTCTGATGGTTTTAATGAAATGACTGAATAAGTGTGTAGCCAGTTTTCAAGCACTGTTATTAAGCTGACAGGCAGAAAAAGGGTTTAGTTTACAGCATGAATACATATGTTGAATTAACAGCACCCCCGCCAGGATCCCCGTTGTGGCAGGGCTGGAGCAGTCCCCACTGGCTGAGTCGGGGCTGGAGCTTGCGGCCAGTGGCTAACCGGTTAAACAGATCATTTAACTGGTTAACCAATTTAGGCAGTTTTTATATAAACTGGGCAAGTCCCTTCCCTGTGGAGGTGCACTGGCCTGCCACCTTTGTGCCCTGGAGCAGGAGTGCTGGAAGCTTCCCAGAAGTGGGGAGGCTCCTGTGACCCTGCCCCGGTGGCATCACTGCCATTCACTCCTCTCTGCCCCCTCCCCCTGTTGCTCACCTCTAAGGCAGGGGAAGAAGGTGGGAGGGTATATTCCACTCTGGGCAAGTCCCTTCCCTGTGGAGGTGCACTGGCCTGCCACCTTTGTGCCCTGGAGCAGGAGTGCTGGAAGCTTCCCAGAAGTGGGGAGGCTCCTGTGACCCTGCCCCGGTGGCATCACTGCCATTCACTCCTCTCTGCCCCCTCCCCCTGTTGCTCACCTCTAAGGCAGGGGAAGAAGGTGGGAGGGTATATTCCACTTTTAAAAGCAATGGCATCTAGGCCCCCTGGCCTCCGCTGTTCCAGAACTCCTGGCCTTGGCCCCTCATTTTTTTTCCCCTGCCTTAAGGGTGAGTGACAGGGGGTGGGGAGGAATGAGCTGCAGGGCCTGGGAAGAGGCTGAGTGGGAGCAGGAAGAGGCAGGGCCTAGGGGGAAGAGGCAGAGAGACTGTGTGGCCTTGGCACAGAGCATGGACAGGGTCACAGTGGAGGGGCATAGGCCATTCACCGGTGGGGACCTCCAGTTCTAGGGAGCTCCTGGCACTCCTTGAAATAGCCTCTCTCAATGAAAGACTCATGTGCTGCCTGTTTTATCTCTCAGCCTTTTGCTTAGGTTTAAAATTTTCTAAGATCACAAACTCATCTGGTGATCGGTCGCTCAGCCTTTTGCTTAGGTTTAAAATTTTCTAAGATCACAAACTTATCTGGTGATCGGTCAATTTCTTTCAGTAATTCCATACATAACAATACATTGAGCCATTTTTGTTGAATGGTAATCCTTTAGCATGAAGTGGTCCAGGCCAACAACAAATCCATGAAATGCTAAAAACAAGCCCTCTGTGTTGCAAAATAAAATCCCGATAGCCCGGGATTGAGGTGGGAGACAAACAGTTATTTCTTAACCAAAGCAAGATTCTAACTCGTCCCATCTACCCTGCTTGTTCTTGTGGTTGTGCAGTGACTCCTCACTAGCATCACGTACCCTGTATCTCATTAGTGCGATCTTCTTGAGCGGGAGTGCTCGCTAAATTCCACTCAAACACGGTGTCATAAGAAAATATGAACGCTGTTAACGTTTCGGCAGGAGATAAAATGGACTGGTAGAGTATCCTCTCAGTCAGGAGGTCTCCGAGCCCCCTGCCATGTTCCTCTTTCTCTCACTGCAGAATTGGTAAGGGAAGGAGGATGTCCTCTATTTCAACTTTTGGTGGGAGAAAACAGGATAGTCTCTTCTGACTCTG